AAATATATATATACAGGGTGTTCCGTAAGTCGAGGTCAATCGCTCGGGAGATGAATGGGGAACCAAAAACAAGAAAGAAAGTTGATACAAACATAGGTAAAAAAATGCGTTGTTTTCGAGTTATCGCCATTTTTATGTTAAAATTTGAAATTGCTTTGCCTTCGAATTTTTTTGTCAAAATTGAAACATAAGATGGTTTTTATGAGTTTCAAAAAACAACTAAAGTCAAATAAAAGTTGCGGGTTGCTTTAGCACTACCCAGGATGCATCGCGTGGAGGTACAGCCCGCTTAGCATCTCTTGGCAGAGATCAGGATTCCACAGTTCGTCACTCCTGTGGTATTTAGTGACTCCAAACCCTCTCTTACTTCCACGCGGTGCATCCTGGGTAGTGCTAAAGCAGCCCGCAACTTTTATTTGACTTTAGTTGTGTTTTGAAACTCATAAAAACCATCTTATGTTTCAATTTTGACAAAAAAATTCGAAGGCAAAGCAATTTCAAATTTTAACATAAAAATGGCGATAACTCGAAAACAACGCATTTTTTTACCTATGTTTGTATCAACTTTCTTTCTTGTTTTTGGTTCCCCATTCATCTCCCGAGCGATTGACCTCGACTTACGGAACACCCTGTATATATATATACAAGATGTCCCAGACTCTCCTTCGCAATTTTTGTGGGAACGTAAAACGGATTGAGTTGAACATAAAAGTCTTATACCGTTTGGCAATATTCATAATAATAGTCAAGATATTATTAAAGAAATTAATAAATGATCACGCGATATGCCAGATGAGCTGTAGTGGCGATGTGCTGTTGTGTGCTTGTCTATTTCATAAGTCAAATTGAACAAAAAGATCTTTATCATTTTACAAATAATATAGATATTTGTAATTATTAATGAAAGAAAATTGTTACATATTAGATTTGGTTTCCGGGTTTGAGCGTGGATTCATCTTTGTTTGATTCCGACGCGAACATTTTAGTCCGCTTCATCAAGGAGGAACGACCCGATGATGAAGCAGACTAAAATGTTCGCGAAACGTCGGAATCAAACAAAGATGAATCCACGCGGCTCAAACCCGGAAACCAAATCTAATATGCATGGACACCGCGAAAGCCTAAAAAATCAAATTGTTATATGATTGTGCGCGATAATCAAAAATATTCTTTAATTAATATCTAAAAATCTGTGTGGTCATTTGCAAAATAATAGAGGACTTTTTTGTTGAGCTTGACCTAACGTATAAGTACACAACGGCAAACGGCGCTATTATAATTTACCTACCATATTGCGCGTAATTATTCAAATCTTCTAATCTTCTTTAATTATTATCTCGAGATTTATTGCGAATACCGCAAAACGGTATCAGACTTTTTATGTTCACTTCAATCCATTCTATGTTCCCACAAAAATTGTGGAGGAGAGTCTGGGATATCGCCTTATAGAAATATCATACTAAGAATCATTGATAATTACTTATTTTCAGTATTAAAAATACTGGATAATAAATAATTATCAATGATTCTTAGTATGATATTTCTATAAGGGTCTTGTATATATATTGAATATCAGTTGTGTATATATTGTATACTCACAGCCAAAACAATTCATTTTGACGAAGAAACGCTCCCTTTTCCATTTTAGTTATATGGTTGTTATCGAGATACCTGAGATTATAAAAAACTACAACGTTTGTGAATTTTCCCTTGCGTATAGAAGAGTTACATAGAAGATATATTGCACATAGATAACTTACAATAAACGTATATGCGGATATCTTGATAACGCACTACGAGATAAGCGCGTGAGGGAATTGTCAGTTAAGAATCTGCAAAAATCTTATGTTAGCATTATTAATAATTATTATTAGTATTATTAATAATTAATAGCGGTAACATGTGTGTATATGTGTGTATGAAGAACGAGATACCTATAATTGATTTGAGGAAACCTACGGTTCAGTTTAATTTATTATTGGTAAAATTGCAAATATTTCTTGATCATTCTTACTTAAAAAAGAAAAACATTTTTCTACAAATAACATAATTAATATTTTGTTGTAACAACGATACAATTTGTGTGAAAAACGTACATTACTGTGACATTCGATGACAGGTCCTGAGGCACGTCAGTATAATTTGCACATATCACACAACATTTGTCGTAGGTGCACCTAACGGGAACCTCAAGTACATCTGCAGAGAAAAGTAAGTGAAATTTTGCATAAGCCTCGCGGTATACTGCAGACATTTACATATTTGACAATATTACCGCAATTCTCAAAGTCTCTCCAATCCCAATCCCTGTCTTTCATAAACCAATCCCAGGTTCCGTGTGTGTCAACTGTATAGTAAAATTATCGATTCAAGAAGGGAATGAAACTACGTTCGGAAATCTAAAAATCAGAACTTCTTTTTTCAAATTCAATAAATTTCGGAAAACGCGACTAAAACGCATATTATTAATGATAACAATTTTTTAATTAATGAATTTTTTACATAGAATCTATTCAATCTAATAGAATCTATTTAATCTATAGAATTTATTTAATTTTAAAAGTATAACGTATTGAGTCACGAAAAATCATGAATAGATTAAAATAACCATAAACATGGATTCAACAGAAAGTATGTTAAACACTAATGTGATGAAAATATGAAACGTACAGCAATTTTCCACAGATTCATCGTCACTCAACGGACAGTCTAATATACCATTGCACCAACTACGTTGTGGCATGCATGTGGTACTATTGTGACATTGGAATGTACCGACAGGACACTTGTCTGAAATGCGTGCGAAAATGTTTTAAAAAATTTGACATTATTCTCTGTTTGTTTGTTTGTTGTTATTACAAAATTTATAATCATCTTTTTAGAGGATTGTATACAACAGTCAGTATCATGTGTATAGAAATGACGACTATCAAATATATTTCTCGTTTTCACGTTTTGCTGTGGAAACAATAATAATCTAGTAGCTCCGAGAGAACGTGAAGGACGCCTTTTTATCTCGTAAGAACGGCGCGTACGTGCCACGGAATAGAAAACAGCTACTCAAATAGTCCGTATGTTTAACGATACTCAATCACTTCACAATCATTACACTTCTACAATCCATTACACTGCGCGTAGCCTTTTAAAAAGAGAAGAAAAATATCATATACAACAATTGCAAACGACAAAAAAAGATTGTTGATTAAATGTAATGTAAATGTCAATAGTAATGAAAAGTACAATTCTCTGAATTTCCTGTTTCTAAGGAAAATTTATGAAATTTCGAAAATATTTTATGTGATTCTACAATGTTCTATGCGATTCAAAGAACGTCATTTTTGTAATTACAGCAATCAACGAACTTTTATCTCGGCATCTTTTGTGATTTTCGTTATAACATACCGAAATATCACTGCAAAAAGAACATTATTACTGTAAAAAAGACGATAACATTTATCGAAATTCTGGAGCCACAAAAGTAAAGTCGATAATAATCTGCTTGAAATTACTTGCTATTCCGATCATACCTTGATTGAAGTAATACATGAGTCCAGAAAGTAGACAGAGCGTTGTAATTAGTGATGCACCCACAAAACCGATGTGTTTGTACCTCATAATGTTTCAATACCGTTTATGGAAAGTTGTATCAAAACTCTGTGAGTCCCAATCACTATTATATACTAGACTTTGTACACACGAGCGGGGGATGCGACGTGTAAGTGGTCAGCACTCTAACTGTGACACTAGTTACATCCATTTGCTCGATGGAAAACTCTGGCGCATTGCACACGCGCTCTTCGTTGACCTTGGAGAAGCTTTCGTGTATATTTCTTCAAGCTTTTTAACGCGTTGCTGCACTAAATTTTAACATGTAGTAATGTGCGTCAATAAAACTTTTATCTCATCAAAGTAAAACTGATGTGTGATAACAAAACACGCTATCAGATCTTGCAAATTATGATTTTCAGCAGCGATAATAATAGTACTCGTAATAAAGAAATTGCATCATACTTTTTTAGCTAATGATGCAGACAGGATTTAAAGATATAGACGTGAATCTACTTCTGGAACTAATAGGGGAGATCGGGGCTATATAGCGCCAGGGATATGTTGCTTATATGCTTTTTTAGTATTTATTTTGAGAGAAATAATGAGTACAAAATCACGAAAAAAAAGGTCCTTTCAGAACACATAAATATTTTTCCCTGAATTTCATTAAAAGTGGAATAATATTATATTAAGAAATATTATATTAAAATATCATATTAAAAAAATAGAAAAAACTGACTTGGTAGTAGAGACAAAGTAAATTTTCGAGCTTCTAGAAATTTTGTATTAATATTCTCCATTGTGATTGAATAAAAAATATGTATTACTAGTTAGAGAGAGAATGAAATTTCTCCTGCAAGTGTATGATATACTGTTTCTGATGATAAATGCAATTTTCATTCATATAATGATTAAAATAGAGCTATAGGCGGACGAGATAAAGTTGACCTATAATTAAAGACTGGCAGGAAGACTATGGAGATCTCTCGCAGATACTCTGAAACTACTAATCAGGATATATATTTTATACGTGGCTTTTTTTACTTTGCCTGACTGGGTAACTGAATCCGGTACCAAAGCGAGATGGCTATGTTGCTGCATGTTCGTATTTTGGTTATTACAAAACAAAATATACGATTAATATAGAGTCGTGATGGGAATTAATACATAGAAGAAAGTTGCCATATTTATATATTCAATCAATTACAACAATTAGTTGCTTGAGAAGTTGTAACTTCAAAATTCTAAAATATAGGACATCTAATCCCGGTTTCTCCTACTCTTTGCCAGCAGAGTACGATCGGGGGAGAAATATTTTGATCCGAGGTCAAAGGTATCTTGCGTCGCGCCTGAAATACGACATAATGCGGCTCATGAGACATGCAGATTTACCTGCGCCGCGCGAGATTACTCACATGCTCAAGTCGCGTGAGCAATTTGCTGGCAAAATTTCGCACGATATCTTATGTTAGCACCACCATGGGAACATGTGATTATGCATTAATAAACAAAGCGATATCGACTGAGGACGAAAATGGCACGAAAATGATGCGAAATTTTCTTTTCGCGTCAAGTTCAGTCACTTCGTTATTTTGGTTTAGACGATCGTTGTTGCGCGCTGTGCTACGCCTCAATTTCTGAAATTTCAACTTCTGCGCGAATTTGCGTGCACATATGCTGGCAACGTGCGTGAGCGACAAGAATCCCGAACAAAAATAATTATATACGTTGGACCCGACAATCGGAGCGCGACTTAAGTCAGTATTTAGCCATTACTGACAAATAGAATAGTACTTAGAATAGTACTTGTTAGTGGCAGATATTAGTACTAGAATTAGTTGTATTACATATTTCTTATACTTCTTATATCGTTTTTTCGGAGAAAAAAGTTTCTGTAGATTTAATATTCGTACTTGTTTAATTTTGATTTGTTTCATTAAAATATCATATTCTTAAACAAAATATCATTTTTTAAAATGACGAAAATAACAACTTTTATTTTGTTCAAGGAAACCATGTTATTTGATAAAACAATACTATTGTTGTATTTTAAATAGTATTTTTTAAAAGTTTCTTTCAATATTTAGTAATTCGATTTATTTGATTTGCCAAATCATTGAAATGTCTAAATTTGGACATTGGCAAGTTATTTTTAAGATTTTAGGCATGTTACTGAGAAAATAGAAGCATATTCATTCAAATTGTATTCCAGGAGATAGTAGAGCGAGATACGCACACTTGAGCCCATTTTCAAAAATACACATTTAATAACTCAAAAATTATTTTAAAGAACTTTAAAAAATTGTCGAGGGAGTAGAAAAACGTGCTCCTAAAATGTGCTTTATTATATACATATATATGTATATAATAGCATATACATGTAAATATATAAATTATTATATAACCTATATATAAATTTTGTCTCTATACCAGGTGTAGAAGTATGAAACCGGAATTCCCCTATAAATGGTGCCAGCGTTCAGTTTAGTGACCGTAAGACCGCTACTGCCGCGCTATTATATTCTCCTAACAGCTGACGAATATTGTCAACAAACATAACCCCAACTTTCATTCTCTAGTATATTTTTGTATAACCTTAAACATGTCACGTTTCGAGCCTACTAACTATGATTTGCGGACAGCATTGATTTTCTGTTATCATTTAAAGAAAACTGCTGCAGAATCACATCGAATGCTTGTCGAAGCTTACGGTGAATATGCTCTTGGTAAATCTCAGTGTTTCGAGTGGTTTAAAAAATTCAAAAGTGGTGATTTTGACGTGAGGAACGAAGAACTATGAACTATGAACTATGAACTATGAACTGCTGAAACCTGGTCAAACCGTCAATACTAATCGCTACCAACAACAAATGATCGATTTAAATCGAACATTGACTAAAAAACGACCAGAATATGCAAAAAGGCAACACAATGTCATTTTGCTCCATGATAATGCCCCATCACATACAGCAAAACGGGTCAAGGAAACGATCGAGTCGTTCAGTTGGGAATTACTACCGCATGCGGCTTATTCTCCAGACTTGGCTCCGTCCGATTATCACCTGTTCGCATCGCTAGGACACGCTCTCGCTAACCAACGCTTCGATTCGTATGAAAATGTGGAAAAATGGCTAGATAACTGGTTCGCTTCAAAAGATGAAAAGTTTTTTTGGCACGGCATTCATAAACTGCCAGAGAGGTGGGAAAAATGTGTTCAAAACAGTGGAAATTATTTTGAATAAAGTATTATTTATCACTTTCGAACAACAGACGTCTTATTTGTATAAAAAAATTCCGGTTTCATACTTCTACACCTGGTATATATATAGCCACACATATAATCTATACGTGTCTACACGGAGAGAAATTTTGTTGAATGAAAAAAGAAGAAATTGTTTTATTTAATTAAACTAGGATGAAATTAAATACGTTGTTAGTTAAATCTAATATAAACGTTAATAATAATAAAAAGTTTTTTGTATTTTCTGTTTTGAATAAAAATTTCGAAAATATTTTGTGATTCTAAAATGTTCTATGCGAAAATATTAAAATACTATAAAATACTATGGATATTTTCATTCAATTAAGCCTTCTCTTAATTTAAGTCCGACATCACGGACTGCTACAAACATAAGCAGTTATTTTAATTGTTTTTGTATAGCAGGATTTTTGTCCGTATGAATATATAGAATTACACACATTTATGATTATACATAGAACTATACAGAGACAAAATTCACACATTATACAATTACACTACATAATTATATATAAACAAATACATTATATAATTATATATAATCATCTTTTCTCGAATTGTTGACCAAAAAGATTAAGATGTTGCGTAAATTTATAAGCAATTTTTCTTAAAATAGTAAATAAATTAATAAATAATCAGGATGTTACGTAAATATTGTAATGATATAAATAATTCAATAATTATTCATTGCGTGGTCATACACACAGACGAATATCCCGTATATTCGTGCGAATGTCTTAATCTCCCGTAACGTTAAAGTGTTCTTCCCAACGGTTTACGATTCAACGTTATCCCGCGAATAACGGAGAACGCTATGGATTCCCTGACAGGTTCCGGCAACTGCACTCTTCCGTACGAGCTGCCTGCTCGCGTAAATCGAGCCTACGAGATATCAGAGGTGCGTTCGTACGTGCTATTTTGCGCATATTTAGTGCCGTCCAGCATACTTTTGACGATCGGTGCAACCGCAACAGACAGTCTCCTGGTTTCCTTGACGTTTTATCTGTGCGGTCAGCTGTCGATTCTCGGTCATCGTGTGAGAAATACCGATCCACGATCGTCCAAGTATTATTACGGGATGAAGGTTCTCATATACGACAAGCAAAAGCTCTTGCGTTTGATTCACAAAGATAATTAACTTTCATAAGGCACACACATATTTTGGACATCTTAATCTGGCACGCTGCGTCCAGATGCAGTATGCTTATTAGTTTCATTAATATTTTACGAATTATTTGGTGGCAGTAGTGTTGTTAATGTTCTGCTTTATTTCCTGGGAGAATGTTTGATTAGTAAAGCGAGAACATGTTTCTGCGTTTATTTCTTTATTGTGTCTAATTTATTAACAGAGATATTTATTAACAGAGACATTGTATTAACAGAGATATTTTTTATTTCAAAGCGTGACGTTGAATGTGTTATTTCACAAACTAGCACGAATTACCAATTAAGTCCATACGTCTTCTAATGATATGCATTGCTCGATCGCGAAAGCCGTTATATTTAACGACCAGACAGTTTTATGTCTTCTCTCTGAAAATATTCGGCATAGTAAATTTGACACGATCTTTGCAGGATAGCCACGGATATCCCATACGAGCTTTTTATATTTATCGCTCGTACGATCTGTAAATCAATTAGAAGAGTTCGAGGATACAATATTTTCTTAAAAGTCGTAAAGGTGTTCGTGGCGTATCTCTCGGTATTGAAAACTGTACCGACCTTTAGAATGGATTTTGATTTATTACACATGCAAGTCAATGAGTCTCTTGATTATATATATTATGAAAAATAAGTATAATTATTTTTGTGTAATATATTGTTGTTTTATAGTCTCTAGAATATTCATATGATGTGGCGTTGGAAGGAAGAAAAAAAGCAGCAAGAAACATTTGTATTATTTTTAGCATTTAATATTTTCTATATTCTCTAATTTTTGTTAATTGTATCGCTAGATACAATCTATACTTTCAAGTGGAATATCAAGAAGGTTATTAATACATTTATCAAACAAAACTAGGTTTATATATTTACTTATACTATCCAAATATCGCTGTTATTTTGAAACGAAATTAAAACATATACAATACTACAATAGGACAATACATATACAATACTACAATACTACAATAGGACATATATACAATATTACAAATACAAATTATTTTTTTTATTTTATTGATGAGTGCTTTATTTATGAATCAGTTTATTTAATAGAGATATACTGGTAATGAAAAGAAGTTTATAAGTATTTTAATATATGCACATATATTTCGAGTACCACTATAAATTATGAACTCTTTCCACATCACTGTTATTATAAGTTAACTTTCCATCATTATATTTTGAGAATCAAATGGTCAATAATTCTGGAATTTGTATATAATATCTGTATATCAACTATTAATATCATAGTAGTTTTTCATCAAAATCTCACATGTAGTGTTTAGAAGATATTACAAATTAAAAATAGCTCTCTCAAGGAACACGTATGAAAAATGTCAATTTTAATTACAACTATCTTAGCTCTCAAATGGTCAATCTTTCTCCAATTTCATAAGCAGTTGGACAATATTTCATGGCATAATTACCTGAATTAGATGCATCGAAAGTAAGCATCGACAAGATACAATGATATCATTTATATTATTCAACGTATAGAGTATCCAATACATTTGATAATGATCGTTAATGATCAATAAAACTCACTATAAAATTCAAGCGTATAATAACGGTGGAACATCAAAGGTCAATTTATGCCGTAATCAAGCGTAGATCGCAATGTTTAATCATTTAGAACGAAGGATGACGGACAGGAGGTCAGACGGGAAGAAGAAAGAGAACTTGTCGGTCTCGACAGGACGAGACGAGTTGAATCACAGATTTTTTCTCGAGACGCATGTTCGGGGGTCTCGTCTCGTCCTGACGCGACGCAACGCGAGATCTTGGCTGGAGGAGACGTGGAAAAAGAAAAATTTATTTCTGTTTATTCAGAAAAGATACAGAGAGTGTACATCTGTTGAGGATACAAATTATACATGTCCTTGCCTTTTGTGCTATTGCCAGTTGCGAGAGAGTGCGCGGCGGAATCGGTGTGATTGTTACGCGCGCGTGTACACAACATTCATCTTCGATCTATATTGAGCGGCATGCGCGCGAGCCAAATGCCCGCGACGCATCGGGAAACATTCGCGGGAACATGCAGAACGAGTAAAATCGCACGTGAAATCGTCCGGGGAGAAATCGCGGGTGCTGACAACGATCTCGAGGGTGTATTTCGTGGACATGTATATCGTGAAAATCGGCACGCGAATGCTCGCGAGAGTGTCACACAAACAAGTAGCGAGAGGTGCGCGCAAACGTAAAGTCAAGTGGCTCGCAATGTGTCTGTATCACAATTCAACCGGACAGTTGTTATCTCTCAAGTCGCGTACGAAGCTGAGATTCGCTAGGACACACCGTGTTCTCGGTGACTTTCCCCACGTGTGTCTCCAGCCGATCGAGAGCAATCGCCCGCTTCTCTCTGTCTGTCGCAGGCTCTTGCCTGCGGATTTCTCGTTACAAAACCGACGTTTCAGCGTGACTCGGCGCTCGAAGGATCAGAACTCAACTGTCGCGTCTGCTCCGCGAAGGATATGAATCGGGAGTAACTCGGGAGTGACTCCCGATACGCGGGCAGAATGGATGTTTATGTACAGGCGGCCGAAGGAAACACATTGTACGTTAAAATCCGCAGGAATCCTCACAGCGATTCGCAGCAACGTTTCGACATTCGTGACATAAAAACCTAAGCGATCTGTACAGTTTTTCGAGCGCGCAGATTTCGCGCCTCTCATGAGATAAATCCTCGACTTATCCTCAAATGTATTTCTCATCTCGTTTAGTTCCTTCTTTCTCTTTCTTTCTTTCTTTTTCTCTCCCTCTCTCTCTCTCTCTCTCCATACTGAATAAAAGATAAGATTGTGTGGATGACAAGACAAGTATGTCCGTTTTCGCGTTATATCCTTGCCCTACAAGTTGAAATTGTGGGGACCACGTCAGCCAACGGTGGTGGTTTTCAGGACGGAAGAGGCTACGCGAGAATGTGCTACAGACATGTCTATAGTTGTTTCTGAGAAGGGTGCGAATATATTGAATACGCGACAGTCTCGAACTAACGAGAGAAGACGTCGATATGTACGTCGACGTACAAGATAACATTGATGTTCACTGCTCGTGATCTCTGATGGTAGTCCTATTTCTTTAGCTAATGATTGAGATAACGATCCTCACCCTTATTGCATTGAATTCTTGTTTCAGCTTGCGTGTTTGTGTGTGCAAGTGTGTGCAACGTACAATTCCCAAAGCTTCAAGGCTACAATATGCAAAGGATGAACATTATAGTCGATGTACGACGTAAATCGATTGTAGTTTCATGAAAAACCAAATCACAAGTCAAGAAATAGGATTTAGAAACTCCATCATGAGGATATCGAGAGAACTCTAAAAATGTGTTCATCTAAAAAACGTGATAACATAAATATATGTACTCTCTCTCTCTCTCTCTCTCTCTCTCTCTCTTACATAGATTAATATACTTTTTTATTTCACACACATGTGGCAATGTGTGTGATAATATGAATCGATCTAGTTCGCGCATGAACTTGTCTGACTTTTCGCGAGTAACAATCGATCTCTCTAGGCTGCATTCCTTTTTTATTTTACTCAATATCTGTAATTCACGTTACATATACTATAAAGTATCGTGTAAAATTTCCTCAAAAAGGATGTTTTTAGAATGCAACCTTGGTGTACCGACTATGTCGTACATCGTCGGGAGTTTATGTGATATAAATGTCGATGGCAGAGGAGAACGGGATGTATTAACGCGTGCAAACGATGGAGACGAAATCTCTATGTCAGATCCGAGTGTCATGGCATTTATTTGAGGCGATGGAGCCCAATAAAATGCTGCTGTAACATGATCTGGTGAAACGCGCGGTGCAGTGATCATGCTTGACATAAATACCCAGTATGAATGAAAAAAAAATATTAACATTTATTTTACAAGACAAATGCACAATTCACGTATTGTTCGTAATGGTGTTGACATTCTTTTGTCGCATTTAAAAACATGTGAACCTACGAGAGGTTCTCGATCAACCCGTATTGTTCCCTAAAAGATGGCTCTGCATCTTAGCAAAAAAAAAAAAATAAAACAGGAGAAGAATAACGTATTGCACAGTGAATCATATGCTGTAGTACTTAGTCGTTCTTAATGAAAACACAGATTACGGATCTCCGGAAGTTGAATTTTTGTTAATTTCGTAATCATACGTACATTTATGAATGCAGTAAATACGAAGACGATTAGTATTACGCAGTCGATTAGCAAAATGGATGACTGTTCAATTTTGTCGGAGACAATCTATGTGACATGTTCTTTTCACCATCAAATAAAGATTCTAAATATTATTAGCTGTATCAATTTAAGAAACTTTTATATTTACATGTATTTTGTTTTTCTACAAAGATGAAATTATATGCGGATGAACTGACTTTTGTGATGGTGTGTGAGAATTTTGTATCTTAAATATTTGAGCCTCACGCACACGAAGTATATTTATGCTAGCAAATTGAGAAGAACGTGACGAGAAGTTTGAAGGAAATGCATCTATCTCGCCAGCAATTATTTCTAAATCATATTTAGTGGAAAAGGATTCAAACAAAATATATATTTTTCTTTCTTTCTTAAGAAATAATTGAACATTTGTGGAATAAAATATACGATACGTCTCGTGATATATCCATGGAAATTCATATATTCATATCATTTGTAGTCATTTCTCGTGTCTTGTATTGTTTATATTATTGCTTTGTGAGATATTTACGAATATCTACGGTATATTTTATTCTGAAAATATTTTGCAAGTATTGCAACATATGTATATAACTAATATTATAATAAAAAAAAAAATACAAATATCTTTTTTGCATAAAATGTAATCTTTTGAAAGAATGTTTTGCAGACAAACAAGTTTGAAAACACACTAAAATTATGATATTTTTGAGTATAAATATCAAAGACACAAAACGGAGACGATAATACATAATTTCATTTTATATATGGTCTCATACGTGGAACGAAATAATTATTTTCGCACGAATAAATGAAATTTCATCTGCGAGTTTTAGATCAAATCTCGGTTTCCCACTATTGATCAAATATATGAAGGAATAATTATTAAAAATATTTATAGAAATATCATCTTTTTCCCCTCCTCCTCCTCTAGAATCTACATAGGAGACCTACGATGCCAATTATCACGTAATAACTTTATGATTATTCTACGGTTTCACGCGTAATAATAATTCCGTTTCGTGGGTAATTATCAAAAACCATGTTGCATTACTGTCGCGTTATGTTAACGTCGATGTTTGTGAAAAACGAGAGTTCACGATCGAATCACGGGCGCATCCAGTCCTTCTTGCACGCTACAGTATACATACATATATTTTAATCTTATATGAGAGCATGAAATTATTGTGAATCTACGAAAAGGAGTGACGGAAGCAAGGCAGCACTGTTGCTATTTTTAAGTATACAAAGGGGAAACATGCTCTTTCTGACCTGTATCTTGTACGTGACTGCAACGATAAACTGTCGGCTCGAGTATAATCATATTATAAAGTAACTTCGCGACGATACGTACCGAACCGACAGTTATGTCGGTAGGAATTTTCAGAGTACAGGCGCTGATCAATAAATAAAATAACGATAAAAACGGAAAACATGAAAGAGTGACCTGTTGTCTGACATCTACAAATATGTACATAAGTAACGGAATGGTTTCCAATCGCTGTACATGAAATCACAGCACTTACAAAGTGTTCTAACGCAACATTTTTATGTTATGCTTAATGTTCGGCTTGTAGCTGTTCAATTGTGCGTTGTATAAAATTGATATATGCACGTTTCAACATTTAAATAGGATAAATTTCAACGATAATCATCAAGTCGCAACTTCTGTAATACTATGAGCATTTTCGAGTTGACGAACATATCATTTATTCTATTGAAAATAATCATAGGAAGAGGTAGGTATACCTACATTTCTTAATACTGATTTGACAAAAATAAAATCATGTCTTCGTACCTTTTTTATTACTTTGCAAGTGCCTGACTTTTACATAAACTGGAGTATTCTTTTAAAAGTAAATAAATTTCCTTTTAAAAGTATGAACGAAAGAGTGAACATCAAATGCCTTGTAGCGGACATGTCTTTAACACGTGAATCGAGATGATAATATCAAGAAAGATAATCGAAATTGGGACTAAGGATCAGAGCCAAGGATCAGGAGCAAAGGCAATTGTACACCTGAAAAAACTCACCGATTGGTGACAGATGGTTTCAGTCGTCCGAATCGTCCTAGTTTGTTAAAGCTATAGCTTTGTTTCCGAGCAAAACAAAAAGACGGCTCTGTACGAAACTATTATACGCAACATAATCACGCGACAAGATAGTCAATGGCCAATTAGAGGTGTTTCATTCCCATTGGCGTTCCGTGAATGAAACACTTTCGGACTTGTGCCAGTGTCGGCGATTCTCGAATGTTGCAATGTAATTACATTACGGTTGCACCTAATCCTTACAAATAATATCAATATTAAGTATCGCGTAAATAATAGTTTACATTTAATACAAACAGTAGCGCGTGTTGAGACACCGACGATATAGTACTGTTTGCAAAGTCCCGAAGGGGACAGATCACAACATGTGTGACTAATATGAGTAATAAAGTATACGAGCTACTTAGAAACTAAACGATACACTCTCGAACCATATTTCGCAGCGTGCATTACGGAAATGCACTTTATATAAGAATATATTTTTACTTATTTTTTTTTCTTTTTTTTGTAACACGGGGAGACACTCGTAGACACCGACGTCTCTATGCGTGTAATTTTCGACCAAACTATTCTTGTTCGTCATGTGTAAGATATGTAAAATTATGTTACATCAAGTATTATCATGTCTCTCTCTTTTAAGTTCATTGTTCAAATAATTATCAATAAAAAAGGCATCGTAAACAACGTATGTACAAAAGGAAATATATAAAAAGTATAGTTACTAATTTGTTTTTTAAGCGACAATAGACTTAAGATTCCCAGGTGGCAGCAATTCCTTCGGTTATGCGGCTCAAGAATTATTATACAACCCCCAAATGTGATATAAAAGACATCACAGACACTGGCACAATCGCATTAACTTTTGGCGTAATTGTTCCCATTGACTGTCGATGTTCTTACAAATACTATTACTTATAGCGTGTCCATATGCACTCGACGCGTACACACGCGTACACACGCAGTCCTGTTTCGATAAACTTCATCCGAAATAACTTCCTCCATTGCGTGACACTGTTTTGTTTATTAACGAGACGAAGGACTTACAGTGGGCAGTAGATGGTTGCGTGAGAAATGTTTACAGTCTAGATGGTCCGGAGGAACATCTGTGGATTGGTGTGAGATAGTAATTTTGCAGTGGTCAAGTGCAAACGAATCCCTCCTGCGCTACTGTGGATGTGCTAGTGGGTCCTTCCTGTTATAATAGATATCACAACCGAATTGCATTATTAAATGGTACAGAGTTTTATATACAATAGAAATCAAAGAGTTAATAATTTTATGGATAGAGTATAAAAGAAAATTCACACTTTGATAGAAAAGCAGAAACCAATCAGAACTCACACTGATAGTCAAGTAGTAGTCAACAGTTTCTGCTTTTCTGCCAGCGCGAGTTCTGATTCGTTTCTGCCAGGATATGAATTCTTCCTTGAGCATGCAAAAGTAAAAAATTAAGGCCTATATTCTGAACTTTTTTTTTATCGCTAAAAACGTCTCTAAAAGTGGTTTATAGTCAATCAGAAGACTTATATAAGTCATTTTTAGAAGTGTTTTAACGACAAAAGATATCTCAGAACATGAGACTAAAACTGTAGTATATTATCTTTTATCTTTCATTTTTTTTATTTATCAAGATAAGACACAAATAAAAGAAAATCCTGCAGCAAATTTCAATCTTTAATTAGCTAATATTGTATTGTAAATATTATAGAATAGTTTGCAAAAAGTGCATAAAATATACAGTTCTTACATCTTTAGTAGTTGATAGGCTTTGTTTGTACTCATCCAAGTTAAAACCGGAATTACTATCTTCGCCACAAGATTGTACTACTATTGACGAGTTCTCCACCTACGAAGAATTACCGCACAATTATACCCTGAATCCTATATTGATCAATTTCGAGTAGAATATTCTCTTTCCCTTGAAAAGCACTTTATGGTATAGACTACCCACTTGTTCCTCCACATCGTTGACTCGTCGTTTCTTCCCACACGCATCGATTCCTTGATCCGATAATCGCTTTCTGCTTGTTGTATCGCCTGAATTTCGAGGTGATACACTGCCGCTATTTCCGTTTCCAGCAATGCTGCCGTTCCGATGCACACCACCGGAAACCTATAATTATTTCAATTCTAACCATCGTATCACGATAATAAGAAGGTTAATCTTATTGTATATTTTTAACTATAAGTCTTATAATTTTGTATTATTTTATTGTATAATATTAAAACGAAGATAAAAACAAAATATTTTTTTAAATATCTTAATAAAATATATTATATAAGAGTTATAAATATATATTATAAGAGTTGTGTATGATAGGAACTAAAATTTAATATATGCAATATCAATAAAGTCTATGTGTGATAATTACCTTTCGTTCCTTTTTCAGCAAACTTGGAGACACATAAGTATGCAAATCCTTTCTTTTTACATGTTTAGCCTCTATCCACATTCCCTCTTTCAGCATATTTATCTGCTCCGCTTGCCTTTCAACTGTAATAATTATACACACAGTTGCATTATTCTATATTTGTAGCATTATATGGATATGTTCATAACAATTATGTAACTTAAAATCAAGTTTACTTGTCTCCACGAAGGATTTTATATCATAGGTGAGGTCAATATTGAGATTCTCGCTCTTAGCAAATAGTAAACCAATAAACCACATAGAACAGTGCTTCTCCGGCTCTGGATCCAACGGTGGAAATGCTTCCGGGTTAACGTGCGCCAAGGTAATATGAGGATTTCTTTCCAACATACCTGTTGTAAAGAGTTATAATTTTGCCATTTTAGCATTAATACATTCTTAGTATTGATGTTTTGACAAGTAATATAATAAATATTGTAAAAGTAATAAATGTGTAGATATTTATTTCATTATTACAAAATTAAAATAAACTAGTCTACATTAATTATGACTGCTTTAAGAAGGATGAGGAAGTGTGTATAATTAAATGTGCCTTGAGAATGTTCCGAAATGCTTGTAAGTGAATATGTGTTGTAACTAATACTAGCTATTCTTCAGCTATTGACATATTAGCGCGTAACGGTGGCCTACTAATAATTACATAAGTCACTCCTAGAATCCGCCACTTAATAGCGAATATTAAAAAGGACAATATACTTACACAAATTATAATACCATCTTCTCATCTACATATTTTTACTAATACTTGATTATTACGTCTCAGTTTTAATTTACAACTGTAAATTTACTTTAATTAAACTAATTTAAGTAAACTGATTATTTTACTAATACTAGTTGTACTTGCTCAAAACCTACTGTATTTCTTGCATTAGTGCAGGAAGTTTAGTTAAAAAGAACAAACACATCATGCTAATTTGTTTTATACAGTTGAATAAATTAAACATTCGGTATTTATATGAACTTCAGGATTACACATATTTTATGCTAATTTCCGTTTTCCCATCTTATATGGATCTAGAAATCTAATAGAAATTCTGTGTGATAAGAAGTAAAATGTCTTTATAGCAAGACAATAAATAGGAATATATATCACCTATCAAATGCCGTATTTTGGATTCGACGAGACCACACCATTCCAACTGATCTTCTGCGGTTGAACTTTTGGCTAACAATACGATGTAGTGTTTGTATTTACTAAAAAAATTTGGCGGCTCAAACAATTTGTCCCACGTCGCCTTGCCTATGATAATCTCCTCGGTTATGGATAGTCCGTTCTCAAATGCTTCTTGCATAATAGTTCTGGTTGACACGGACACGTTGAAAGTGGAGTTTTGTTGAGGATACGCAGGTGTAATTATAGGCATCAAATGATATCTATCTGATATATTAACCTAAAATATAGATTAGATTAAAAATGTGAAATAGTAAGATTGATTTTCAAAGTTATAGCTTTAAGTAAACACAAGTTTTTCAAACAGACATGGGAAGTATGAAATTTCTAAATCTATGTAAAATATCTTAACATATACGTATATTATATTTTTATTTATTATTTAATATTTTTTATTTATTAAATATAAATTATAATTAATTTTATTTATTAAATATAAATTATATTTAATATTTTTTATTTATTAAGTATAAAATGAATTAACTTACTCTTGGATCCCAAACTGGATAACCTAGATTGACGTTGTCAGGTTGTTTTAAAAGTACTGGTTGAGGCCATTTCCATTGAGAGAATACAAGGAAAAATTTTTCTATTAAAGTAGCAGCCACGGCGTTGGGATAAAGTTGGCATGTTCGAGCGACTAACATCGCCCAGGACACACCGCCAAGATAACCTAACACATTGCTATATATGCCATGCCCTAAAAAATAAACACAAATATAATATAAATACAAAAGATGGACATAGACAAAGATACACATTGGATATTAGTTGTTGCTAAATTATTACGCAAACTTACGTTTTGCCCATAATTTTATGGCTCTAAGGGCTAGTCTGAAATTTTCTATATTAGGTACTAAGCGCAATATTTCATCAGTTACTCTGCAACCATTAAGACTGCGGACACACTTTTGATCAAGATTCTTGAGTAGCATGTCATCCTTGAGGTCCTAAAAATTTATGAAATATTTGTTATAAAACTGGGATTCATGAATTATTACTTTTGTACAAGTATAAAGCGTTACCAACCATTGAATCTGGAATTTCTTTAAGGGTTAATTTTGCAAACAGCATATCAATTTCTATGCCATCAAAATTCATTTTAATGACTGGTACAAAGGCTTCTTCCACTGACTACAATATAATAAATATCGTTAATATTTGTTATCATGCTACAGGTTTCATATATATACATTAGAAGTTTTTTTATAATTTTAGATGTACACATTCAAGAAATAATAATTACTTGTATTACACGTGCTTGAATTACTTACTCTTAAATCTGTAACTTCCTCTTGCATTTTCAGCAATTCAAAAAAAGATGTAAAGTAATCTTGTCTATATATGTGACGTGGTACAACACACAGCGCATCGATATCAGCGCCTTTGTGATGTACTCCTAGCCTATATGAGCCAAATGTATATATTTTACCACCAACTTGTTCAGCCACATTGGGCGGCATGTTTCTAGCTATACTTGTATCCCTTATCCATTGTTTAACCAATGCATTCAATTTACTGTAATGATAGATACATTTTCACAATTATTACAGTTGTTTCAGTAAAAAAAAAAATTGCACATTAAAATATACATATTCAGGGACATGCAAGATTTACCTTAAAATCTCCATCCTATGATTCAACTCTTCTTCAGATTCAAAAACATTGTAGGGTTTGAGGGCCTCTTTCAATTCGTTGGTTCTAGTGATATCGAGGGGCTTTGGCTCAGCTACACTGATAGCGGATGTCATGCCCAAAGTACGCAAGTTCTTTTCATTTGATGCAGAGTTTGTATTAGAATTGTTACTTTGTGTCGGCCACATCTTGATATCCTTTAATTAAGTATATGTTTCCAGAGACACACCTTACTGTAAATGTCAATAATACAATTTATCATTATAAGTTTACGTGAGTGTAGGAAGAAAAATAATGATGGAAATTACTTATTATGTAAAAAAGTAATAAAAATACTAAAAATAAAGTAAATACATTTTCAAGTACAAGAAGATGCAAATTTAGTCATTAGTAAATTTAGTCATTTAGTGCATTTTAACACATTCGCGCAAACATGTTCATTTATTGACGATTCGATCTAAACAATGGTCGGTGATTCGATCTAAACAATGGTCGGTGATTCGATCTAAACAATGGTCGCTGATTCAACCTAAACAATGGTTGGCGCGTTAACGCTAAAACAAAACGAGTGATAAAGGAAAGTAATAAAAGAAGTAGCGATACGTAAATATCTTACCACCTGAATGTTTCGTCAAAGATACAGCGACATGATAAAGATACACAGGACGAAGAACTCGATCGTGTTGTCAGGTTATAAAACACGCAAATGCTCACACTAACCGTGGCATAGCGTGTGTTCGCTAAATCGCAGTGCGTTAAACTGCCGTTAAACAAATTGCGATTTTAGGATAAATAACACGTTTCGTGTATTGTCACACGGCTACCTAAACGTGTAAACCTACTGGTAAACAATTTCTGCAGAAGCGAGGTGAACATCTAGCTGCGGCTCGCCGTGCGAGAGAGAGATGTAGTTCGTCTACACGCGACACCAAAAGACGAAACACATACGCGCACGGCACCGTAACTCGTCGCATCAAACGGAGGTGCAGGTGCGTCTAGCGGATTGTAAATCTCTAATCGCGTTACACTACATAGGTAAATAAAGAAATATCATTACACGAAAAATAATGGACGACATATATACCCGACACTCCGCGCGACAAACTACCTACAGTATAAACATGGCGTTACCTGATGGCTCGTTGGTCGAAATTATATACACAGTCTGTGATCATAAAATATCGAAGAACTGAAAAGCACTTTAAAACGTCTTGGGTTCGAAACGTTCGAAAATCCTATTCGACGGATAGAGGAGTGCTTAATTAACCAATTACGATAAAGGAATCTTAGTTCTCTTTGTTCTGATTGGTCAATTAAACTACTCTACCTTTCGAGTAGTTTTTGAACGCAACCTTAAAAGCGACATCTGGGGCTCGATTGTGTACTAACGCAACTTGGTATTCATAGGATGCGTTCGGGGAGCATGCTCCCTAGAGACCCTTTAAGAGAGAGGGTGCTTTTCATTTAATAACACAAGTCGACATAAAACCCGTATCAGACTACCGACTATACAGGCCGACCCGACTGCCGACTCTCAATGGACCAATCACAGTGAGACGCCGAGTCAGCGCCCAACTATTTTAATTAATATTTCGAAATTTTACGTGGTTATTTGAAAAATGACTTATACAATTTTTGTTCACTTTTATGTGTTCTATTTATATTTTTCTTTTCGTACGTCTTACGCGGGACACTCTGTATATGCTCTAAGTTGAAAATATGTCTCTTTCTCGCAAGATTTTGACGAAACCATGCGGCCAAATTACAGATCTTGTAATAAGAGATCGGACACCATATGTCAACATTTTGATTAGCTGCGCCAATGTTTGGGTTCCTGCTTCCGGTTAGGATCATTAGCCGAATGATAACACAAGCAGTGGTCTGTTCTTTTCAGCTGTACTAGCTGCACTGACTGCACTGCTACAATAAGTTAAAGTGAGATAAGTATACTTCCGGTTTGGATCCAAACATGGCGAATCTAGTATCTACAGGCGACGGTATCCGATTTCTTATTAAAGAATCTCTAGCCAAACTCTGCTTAGAGTGACTCTAGTGGGCACTAGAGATACTTAAGGCTGCGTTCCAAAATTCACTGCCAGTACTGAAAACCTACTTTATGTTACGTATACTATAGATTTTCAGTGAATTTCGGAACGCAGCCTAAATCAGAGTCTGACTACGTGGAATCATGTTTTGATTGGTCCGCCATGTTTTTGCTATTCCCGCTGACTTTCAAATACATGAATTATATTAATGTAAAAGTGTAACATAAGTTTAAGAAAATAAACGTTTAAAATGTAATAAAAATCACAATGATATCAAAATCGTATGTAACAATGTCAAAATAAAAATTTTTATATATAATTTATTGAAATTGTCATATATTTTACATACTTTGGCACTAGATGACAATGTGTGTTAGTGTCACTGTACTCCTTTAGTGACACGTCCAGAATCTTGAAAATAATTTACGAATATCCCAAAGTGGTGCTCATAACATTAAATCATCGTAGCAGTATATTCGGATTCTCGCGCAGTGGTACCTATCCTGGGGTATTATTCCGTTCCCGTATACCGACAGTTGTTGAATCGGTAGACGTCGTTACGCAGCTTTTTTATACCGTGGAAAAACTGCGCAACGACACCTACTGATCCGACAACTATCGAAACCACGGAATAGCAGCCCTGCGCATGGGCCGAAAGTCGGTCATGTTACTGCAGGTTAGGTCATATAGTGCTAGCATGTAGAACACATTCTGAGATAGTTTTTTAGGGTTTTTTAAAATAACATTCGTGCTTGAAAAGGTGTATTTTTGAAAATTACATCAGGTGTGTTTGAAAATTACATTATTTCGTTCTGCATCGTCTCCCGGGTGACAATGTATGTTTGTGTCACTCCACTCCCTGAGTAGCATGCTCAGAATCTTCAAAATAATAAATCTGCAAAATATTCGAATATTTAGCATGAGCGATTGGACATCTGTCCTTTTCTAACTTACTATCATTGTACGAAAATACAGCGGCCATGAACCAGGTGCATTTTATTGTTAAGCGGGGAGCACACACTTTTGTATAAGGACATAATGCACAACACATAAGAAAATTGCCTAATTAGAGTCCTTTATTTTCATCGTGGCAATAGAAATGGGAACTCTGATTGGTCAATTTGTTATGTGTTGTGCATTATGCCTTTATGTAAGAGTATGTGCTCCCTGCTTTACCACCACGAGAATGTGCGTAACGAACGTAGTAAAGGCGCACTTTGTTAGATGGCGTCATAAAAATGCGTCTAGCTCAGGGAGCTTATTACGGTTCTGTGTGAGAAGTGAAAATGCGAAAAATGAACGAATTCACTAGATGTTGACCAATGAAATTATAAATATTCTAGTAAATTCGTTCACTTTTCGCATTTTCGCTTCTCACACAGAACTGTAATAAGCTCCCTGGCTATTGAAGCCTGGAGGCGGCCGCTCTTATGCTTCTCTCTGATAAATGTGAGCAGATTCACTAAATGTTGACCAATGAAATTATAAATTTTCTAGTAAACTTGTTCACTTTTGTAATTATCACTAAATTATTAATACACAATCGACTTTAGGATTTGAATAAATATCTCATTTTCGACTAAAATATTTAAGCATATTATATCCACATATACTTGTATTATGCAATGATAATATACACAGTGAATGAATGTATGCAATTGTTGCATGTTGCATTTAATGTGACTAAATTGTTGATTTTCCCCAAAAATTAAGTCACGATACAAAAATATGTAGATACGATGCGTTCGAGCCAAAATACTTCAGCCGGAAGTGAAAGGCATTATTAGAGTTCTGTGTAGTCAGGCAGTCGGTAAGGTTTTCTCGTATTTAAGTTCGCCGGTATCGACGAGAGGTCGTTTTAATCGCTGATGCGGAGTACCGTATTCGTTTACTTGCTGTTGAAATTGCGACGCGGCAAGCTTGAACGCTAATGACTTTAATGTGTTTTAGATTTGGGGCGCCGATGAAGTGTTATCAAAGACTGTCAAGCCTTATAAATAAATTTTCGTTCCTGTGGAAAGGCTCCAAGGAAGCCAAAGATAATTGAAAATAGATGACATCCCAGATAGCACAGAAAACTAAAAAAGAATTCAGTCATATGTCACAAATTTTGAGTTTATTTTTAAGTGCAAAAAGAATTTTTTTCACTGAACTGAACTCTGAAGAATTCTTTTTGCATCTGAAAATGAACTCAAAGTTGACATACGACTGAATTCTTTTCGAATTCTTTTTGAATTCTCTGTGTTATCTGGGATTATCAACCATTTTTAGTATTTTTATAATTTATAATTGTTTTATTGTTTACAATTACAGACCTACAATGAAGTATTCAATATTTTTATATACTGCTTATGTATATATGTGTGATATACTGCACTTCTATAGTTAACATCTACACTGATTTTACACATTTTTATCAATAAATTTACCGACAGAAGGTTATTAAACAGCGAAATTTTTTAGCATACAAAATTCTGTAAAATCAATAGTTTTTAGTATTACTTTGTCGGTGTTTGAGATTTGTATGTATGTGTGAGATTTGAAGAGTTAGGATTTAGTCTTGGATTTTATTTTCGCGGAATATAATAGACCATTGCTGGAAAACATAGCAGAATGAAATCTATCTGGTCTCCGGCTGATGAGTATAATTCCCAAATAAAACAGAAAATCTCAATGACGTTCAAAAGACAAGGAAAATTCACTTTTTTTATAGAGTAGAGCTCTGATTCAATAAGAGCGAATGTCTCAATCGATTAGAGTGAATATATTCCTCTGATGGTATAGTATATATCAGATTCACTGTTCAATTTTGAGTGAAGATATTCACTTGACAATTTGAGCGCAGAATTCACTCTACATGAGTGAAAAGTCACTCGAATTCGAATGATTTGGTTACTCTACTTTTTATGTGAAATTTTACTTCAAGAAATTTAAAGAATGACTTCGTGTAATTTTTTATGCAACGTTCAGTCTCACAGTTGCAGTTAGAGCTTCCATAGTCCTCTATCTGCTCTCTATTCTATGACGATTTTTGCATTGCGCGCTGCCTCGCTTCTCTCACCAACAATGAAATCATTTTCGAACACAAGCAGCAAATTCTCCTTGATGCCGTGATGTTACATCTAATTTCTCAATACATCAAGAATACTTTCTATGAGTTAATTGACTATTTCTTTTTCGATAATCAGCACTTATGTCAAATACCACCTTTCCATAGCAGTACCCAGTCAGAAATGATTCGTTGATCGATGTCGAAACGATGTCGAATCGACATCGAAATAGTGAAATCGACGTCGATTCGACATTGTTTCGACATCGATTGACGAATCATTTCTGGCTGGGTAATTGTTAAGAGATTCACTGGGCGCAAAATCTTTGCACAATTTCCACCCGAATAGCAAGTACATCCTTTTAATCTTGTTTGATAGTACTTAATAACATAATTAACGATGACCAGTTTTGATCTTGAATAGGACCATCTAAGCGCTCATTGCTTCAACCGTATACCAATTCGTACGTGCATTGCTTTCTCATTGAAGCCGTAAATCTGGTGGGGCAATCACACTTGCTTTTCCCAGCGCTAAAATGTATTACCTGCGCCCGTTTCTCCGTGGCTGCACTGCTGCTTTCAATGCGCAAAGGTACCTGCTGCCCATTCATACTCTTGATTAACCCTTCTTGCGATTGAGGAATCTGATCCGTGGGCCGATAGATGAGTGCGGAAATGATGGTCTATCATAGTTGTATTTTCTCACGAACTGCATAGTGAGCGGAAAACTTAGAAGTCTTGCTTACATTTGAATACATGTTTCTCGTGAAGGTGCCTGCGTGAAGAACCGACCAGCGAGAGGAGTGCTTTTTGCAAATTGTCTTTTGACGATCGCTCTGTATATTCCCAGCAGATAGAAATAGACGAACACCATTGCTGGGATAACGAATGAAGACGGATGGCACCTCGGCGCACGGAGAACGACAGGTGCGCGTTGGCCGGGTCGGCCATGGCGCTTGAAAAATAGGAAAACTCATCTCGCCACGCCGACTAAATTGCGGGGGGCGGAGGGGGCGTGAAAAAATTCCAAATGCGAAACATGATTA